TATGGGCCAAGAACTGTGATCCAGGTAAGCACATTTTATAGCGGAAATGATCAGAAGTTGATTTCTCGAATGCATTCACGAAGTCTTATCTTTTTCAGCGTAACTCCAAAACGCTGTTTCCTGGAGAATGCTGGTCATTTAAAGGACCTGTTGGCTATATCACGATCGGTCTCTCCCATCCTATAAACATAACGATCTTCAGCTACGAACATATTGGTAAGCTGCCACTCTATACATCGAGTGAGTGATAGGACCATTCAACTTTTTCCAGGCGCTCATCAAGCTCCGGGTGGTCAGCGTCCCAGCTGTCCGAAGACTTTCAAGCTATGGGTGAGTGACTGAATTAGCAATTTTTGTGGACCTTCTTCATTGGTTTTTTTTTTCAGGCTTACAAGTCTGAAGCTGATATGGACACCAGAGTTCTCCTGGGTGACTTCATGTACGACATCAAAGGCCCACCTCTGCAGTTTTTCGTCATAAAGGTAATTTGCTTCTCTTCTTATTTGCTTCTTCTACAGTTCCTTTCTATCTCCTTCATCTTCAATTTCATCACTTCCACTTCAGACTCAACCCGATTACCCGGTGAAAATCATAGAAATGGAAGTTACGAGCAACTATGGTGCCGAGTACACTTCTTTGTACCGTCTGCGCGTGCATGGATCTCTCTGGAAACCCGGAAATGAGTGAAGGATAGACCTCATCTTTGTCATTTCTGAGTTGTACGTTTTAGTGTAATTGTTTCTTACTTCCTATCCTGACGCGTAGTGTAACTACCCTAAATGCACATACATAAATATTCGAATAGTTATAGAGCCGGTAGGTAAAGTAATGTGCAGTAAAATGTAAGAGAGCATTTGAGCAATAATATTTTTTGCTTTTCTCTTTTTTCCAAAAAGAAACTGCCGATGTTTTTTCATAGTGCGCATTTTCGAAAGAGCTCTGTATAAGGCTCTATGTCGTGTACTCCACAAACTCATCTTTTACATAATATTCGAATGCTCATCTACCCATACTTTTCCGGTATTCTGTGAGGATTACTTGTTATCTGTGGCAGTTTTCACCCATGCCTACCTCGATTACTGCCGGCCATGCGGCCCTCATTGTTTTACTTTTGTGTATATTTGTGCCGGTGATGTATTTCTGCTACTTGTTTTATTTCGTTTCAAGCAGTCACACCATTTTGATCGTGTTGTTATTCTTTCTTCGTGTAAACATCATTACTTTCTCTCTGTACTGTAAAAGGATCTCTTTTAATAAACTTTCAGTGAAACTTTGTTTCTGACAAGCAGACGCAAACCTAGGGGGTAAGGGAGAGG